TCACAGTGGGTTGTTAAGTGGATTTCACATGTACTGCGGGTGGGATTGCACTAGGCCCGATTCCCCCCCCCCGAAACAGCTACATTGATTGCTTTTCTGCAGGCACAACGGGGAGATTCAGGAGAAAGACTTCTTCATCGCCACCGCCACAGAATAAGCCTTCCATTGGTCTCTACCAATAGTCAATCAGACTTGCTCTGAGTTTTTCACTGGGAGGAGCCCCCTTGTCCCCCACCATAACCTCATGGTAAGTTGCCGCAGAATGTAAGAAGAGGGCCCATCTAGTCCGGCTCCGTCTCTCACAGTGGCCCCACCAGATGCCTCTGGCAGCACATGAGACAAATAGATCCCTGCCTCCTGATCCCCCTCCTCTGCATTTGGTATTTCGAGGTACCTTCCTTTCAAGCCTGGAGGTTGTACATCCCCATCATGTCTTGTAACCTGTGAGGGACTTTTCCTCCAATCCCCTTTTGACTGTGATCTTTTCTTTCAACAAACATTCAACGTAAAGGGCCAACAGGCCCAAACACAGGAAAGATAAACAGAATGCTGAGGGGCTCAATTCACCCTCAGTCTCCTCTTTTCTCTAATTAAGCCTAAGGAGCAGAGCATAGACCTTGCTCCTCCATTGTCCAGCACCTTGTGCAGGTAGGCCAGGTAGAGAGTGTCATAACAGGGATACTGAACACAAGCAGACCCTGTCCCTCAAGGCAGGTAGTGTGGATCCCTTCCTTGCCTGGGTCACAGGTGGCTCCTCCAGTCTTGTATGTGTGGTAGTTCTTGGCACTGTCCCGGGCACACCTGGCTGGCATCTTCAGCGGTGTAGGAAGCTGAGTATAGGTGCGTTGCAGCAGGTGGCTCACACCTTGAGGGCCATAGAGGCAGAGGAGGTAGCTGGGCCTGAGGCAGATGACCCTGGTTCTTGCATGCCTGGCGTCAGGCACAACACTGATTCTCCAACCTGCAGGCCTTGCAGCCCCAAACCTGGTAACACCTCATCAGGCGATAGGATCAGCTGTACCCAGTTACCAGTGCCTGGGTCTCACATCTGTACCTTCTCCCAAACTTTTCAGGAAGGTACCTCTCAACTGATCTTTCCCCACCTCACACCCCTCCAAAACAACTGCAAGCCACCCCACAGATCCCCTTCCAAAGGAGCTGCTTTCTCCTTAAATAGGAGTCCCGCCATGGCTGCATCTGCTCCGTCAAAGGGATCTCCTGCAGATCCATCAACCCCGTCCCAATCATTGGGCAAGCTGTGTGTAGGGAAGGTGGATGCCTGTTGTCTCAGTGTGGGGAGCCCACCCGCCAGGCCGGGGAGGGGGGGGCTCTTGCCAGCCCCACATCCACCATCACCAATCCATTTGCTGTCCCGTTGGTTTCAACAACAACATGCTTGTAAATCAAAGAGCAAGCCGGGCTCCACGCTGTGGGAAGGGATGCTTAGGGGCCGTCGATGGCCATTTCCTCATGCCAGAATTGCTTGCCAAGGTGAACTGGAACACCTCCAAGAGCCCTCAGGAAAGACTGCATTCATCATCCTCTTCCCAGTGAGCCTTTTTTTTAACCAGTCCTCCATCCTGTGGTGGTTGAGTCCGAGTCAATGCCTCGTCCTACCACTCAGTGCCCTCTAAAGCCCTAATGCAGCCAGGAATGCCACTCAGCCCCTTTCCTACCTCACAAGGCTGTTGTGAGGATAAAATATATAGTTTGTCTTTCTTTACCTTGCCATTAAATTCAGCATTTAAAGAAAAACAAAGTGCAAATGAAAGACTGAAGGAAGAGCCACATCTTCCACTACAAGCACCTTGGTGGAAAAGGAGAATGAAACAACAGAAATTTCCCCCATCTCCATGTATTTGCTACCCAGCTTGGCTCTGGGGCCAAATTATTGCTTGAACAATCTTCCCTCTCCTCCAGTGAGCTGAGGGTGGTGCGTCTCACCATTCCTTGCCCGCCTTTTTTCCCTCACAACAACCCCCCCCTCCCAGGTAGGACAGACTGTGAAAAATGTCAAGCCCCCAAGGTCAATGAGAGGGTTAGGGAACAAATGAGCTGGAAACCTAGACCTCCGACCCCTACACCTTAATGCCTCAGCCTCTCACCAGTGTGAAAGAACAGTTGGATACCAGTCACACACACACACACAACCCTATCACTTCCCTCCTCTAAACTGTCGCTCCTCGCCGCCTCAACCTCCTTTTATACCCCATCCCAAGGTAGCCCCGCCCCCCCGCCCCTC